TTCCGCAGGCCCAGACCCCGCCCCCTGCCGGTCCCGACGCGCCTTCTAACGGGGCAGATCGCAGCCCTCGCCGGCCTTGACCCCACCCCCTGTCGGTCCAGACCCGCCTCCTGCGGAACCCGCCTTCCGACTCCCGGGACCCGGCCCCCTGCGGTTCCGCGCCTCCTACCGGCCGGGACTCTACCCAGGTTGCTACCGCTTCTGCAGAAGCTCGCCTCGGGTCGGCCCAAACCACACCCTCGCTCGGCCCAGCCACGGCCTGCGGAGCGGGGCGCTAGCGCCGGCCTCTCTACCTGCTGAGCTGCCAAACCGCCCTTAGGTGGGGCGAGACCCGCTGCACCGGCGTGGAGCCCGCAAGTCCCCGCCCCAGAAAACGCACCAAGCACGTTCTGTAAGCGATTTATTGTTCCTTGCGGCTCAGCACCTTCGAGAGCCAACAGTCTGGCCTCGCAGTGCTGTTAGAATCAGCGCCTTGAAGTCCTGGTGACGGATGGCTGGAAAATGCTTCCTCCTAGCCTCAGCCCCTGCCCTCATTTGTCTGTTTAAGTCGGGGACCCTTGACCCAGCCACTGAGGAAGTGGCCCGAACCAGGCCTGAGGGCTGTGTACAAAAGCCCAGGATGCTTTTCCAGAGCACGTCTTCTGCTTTGGAGTTACAGGTATGTAAAAAGGGATACCATTAAATTCAGTTCAACAAGATCAGCTCAAGTGCTTAAGGGGTAACTTGTTTTTTCTGCACTTTTCTTGAGAGCAGGAGCAAAGGTAGGGATCAAAACCCACCTTCCTGCACACTCAACCTATCCCCTCATTTTAAGAGCAACTCCATCCACCCCCGACTAACCCCAATACAGCTCCAAGCTAACGGTGGCAAATAAGAGATAGGCATATGGGGAGAGAGCAAGATTGGGGACACACACAATTCCAGGGTTCCCTGAATTCTTTAAGCTTAAAATGTGGCTGCCATCCCTGGGTTGCTCCCAGTTCCCCAAAGCAGTTGATTCTCCCACAGGAGTCATGGTGAAATGATGGAAACTGGTCCTTTCTCCCCAGGGCTCACACTAGGGTCCCGTTCTTGCTGTCATAGCAGGGTGTGGCCTTGGGGAAGCAAAGGGTGGCATACTCTGTAGCATTTTGTGACTGCAAGTGCTTCACCTCCTGGGCAGAGCGTGGCTGAGGGTGGCTGCACACTTGAATGACTGCGTAGTGTAGGCTGCTGTCCTCTGACCCGGGGCCTTGGCTCCTCTTCTGAGACGCAGGCTGCTCCAGCACGCGCTTACACGTGTGTCCTGTTGTGCCATGGCCCTGCGAGGAACGGAGAACATCAAGAGAGATTCTTGGCTTGCTTTGGTCTCTCACCTTCAATGCAGGGTCAGTTAGGCTGACGCCCTCTATTTTGCTTTTTTAGGGGGGCAGGGGGAAAGGGGCAGAACAAGCAAGTTCTATAGATGACTGAGATGTGTCTGTTCCAGGGTGAAAAGGCCGAGTCATCCGGGCATCCCAGGACTGAGCAGCCCTCAAGAAGGGCCTGTCATTACCTTTGTGCCACTCGGCTTCTGCCGCTGCTGCTTCAGTTTCCATCTTGGTTGACTCCCTGAGAGGAGGAAATCCAACTTAAACCCATTCTCTCTTCCCTGTCTACTGAGGTTGCCCTCTTCCAATCTCCATTAAACGATTATGGTGAGCTTCTAACTAATCTCCCTACATCTGTTCTCACCTCGCTCACTCCCATCATTCACACATCCAGACTTCTTAGCAGGGAATGTAGTCTGGCCCTTTTACAACTGCCCATAATATCTTCTGCCCGCATTTTTCTCCGGACCCTAACGGAGTTCAACAAATACGTGTTGAGATCCCTTTAGATTCCAGGCTCTGTGCTACCCTGTGGGAGTGGAAGGACAAGTAGGCTGCTTCCTGAGCCCCAGGGAGCTACAGCCACACAGACCGTTACAGAACAGTGTGGTGAGGGCTCAGCTACCAAACAACCCATCACCTGCAATCAAGTCAGCCTCTTCTCTCTCTCTCTTCTTTCTTTTTTCTTCTTGAGATAATTCCCTTGCCCAAAACAGCCCCTCCTCCCTGCTCCTCCAGCTTGTGAACTCACTATTAATTCTTCACCACTGGGTTCCCTCCCATTCTCCCACGGCAGGAGTATGCATCTCTTCTAGCACTAGTAGATGGCATTACAACTACTTGTTTACATATTTCTCTCTCAAACTTGATTTTCCGGTCTTTTAGGGCCAAGACAGTGTGTCCTTCCTCTTGTGCCTCTCTGCCTCCTTGGGATTCTGCAGTGCCTTACATACAATGTAAGTGCTCAGTAAATTTTTACTGGGTGAATGAAAGAATGAGCGAACAACCTTCCCACCTGCGATAACAGAAAGGATGAGACCCAGAGTTTCAGAGCTGGTCTTGAACCCAGTAACCTAAAGATTCTCTGGTGCACTGTCTCCCTTTATCCCTGCCAACACTACTCTTTCCCATCCTTATGCTCCTTACAAAGACACTGCTTCTATTATCTTCTCTAATTTGCTACCCGATCCCCCCCAGGACCCCATCCCAGCCCCTCCCAGTCCCTCTCTTTCCCCCAGTTACCCAGTTTCTTTTTCCTCTGGAAAACTGATGGGCAGCTCCTGTGAAACAAAAAACAGATCACCCATGTGTAAGAGCCTGGCCTCTATCTTCATCATTTGCTCTGTGGTCTCCTGAACACTCTGGGATGATCGTCCCTCACCTCCCTCTAACATAGTGACCCTAAGCCAGCCCCAAAGCATTTATCAAGGATACCACACCTCTCCCAAAGAGATGGTTCTGGAAGGCGGAGTGGAACAACTGACATAACCAAACCCAAAATACAGACTCAGGCAGCCAGTCATTACATGCCAAGGATGTAGCTGGGTTGAGCACTATTCTGGGATTGTCTAACAGGCTAATTCCAGAAGAGGGTAAGGGAAACCTGCCAAATAATGGGGTATTCCTGGATTCAGAGCCCCTCTTGCTTCTGCCTCACTGCCTTTTTAGGGGTCTCTGCCAACCTGGGGTCCTCATTCCAGGAGTCACAGAAGCTGCCACAACAAGGGCTCACTAGTTAGGGCTCGTCAAAGCTCTTTCGTAACAGGTGACCTCCCTCCCTGCTTCCCTGTCCTTGTTTTTAATTAATGAAAGTGAGAGACGTTTAACCTTTAAGGCCCACAGCACAGGGAGCTCTGAATTTGGTGAGTGACTCAGCTACCCCAAGCTCGCTGCAGGACAGACCTCTTATACTCACTTCTGAGCCCCTAGGGTCCCCAGTGGAGCCGGTATGTCTATGATCGTCAACTGTTTTATGGCCAGAGAAACAACACTTGTCTGAGGAAATAGGCTGAATAGTTTGGAGCTTACTCTGATGCTTTTTCTTGCTAGTACATTTCCAGCTCTCACCAGAGCCAACCCTATTTTTCTGACTTCTGTCTCCTGAAGTAAGTTTCCTTCTTTTACTACTTAAAAAGCGAGGAAAACTTCTAAATCATGTCCATTTTACTACTGTGGAAAAATCGGAATTTTCCCACACCTATCTGACAGAGGTTTGTCTTTTGGTTTGATTTTTGGTTTTGACACAGCTTAACAGTTGAAGTCACCATCTGATCACTGCAGGTAGTTCAGAAGAAAGGCTTTGAAACTACTTCTGGAGCTTTCTACTTCCTCTTCTGCCTCTTCAGTTCTTCCTTTCTCTTCCCACTGCCTAGCCTCTGATTCCCTGCCCCTTGTCACTATTGTCTTCCTACTTACTTCTGCTTAAATGGATAAAAAAAATATTAATTCTAAAATGACATAGACTTGGGCGACCCAATTTTAGTAAATGGAGCCTGCTCCCAAGTTGGATATTGCACAATGCCTGGACACAACCCAAATGGAATATTCAGTTTCTCTTTGAAGATAAGACTTTATTTTTAGCTTAGAATTAAGGAAACTAAATGGGCACTCTCCCATATTGGTAGTAGGAGTAAAAATTGGCGCAATCTTTCTAGAATGCAATTGGCAGTAAGTATAAAAAGCCTTAAACAAATGTGTGTACCCTTTGATGTAGCAATTCCATAGCCTAAGAAATAATCAGATAGGTGCAAATGTGGATACTCATTGTAGCATTATTTACAATTGCAAAAAAAACACCCCAACAACCAAGGAATATTCTAAATGTCCAACATTGAGAACTGATTGAGTAAATGGAATCTCTAATCAGTGGAACATTACACACCCATTTAAGAAAGATGTTAGACGAACAACTAATAGCATTGGCAATTTTACTCTTTTTTAAGTTAATAAAAAGATAATAAGATATGTTTTGGGATAAAAACTATCCACATAGGCATTTAAAAAGTATTACATGGGCCCAGCCCGGCGTGGCTCAGCAGTTGAGCATCGACCCAGGATCCAGGCGATTGGGGTTTGATTCCCGGTCAGGGCGCATGTCTGGGTTGTGGGCTCGATCCCCAGTCGGGGGGGTGCAGGAGGCAGCCAATCAATGACTCTCTCATCATTGATGTTTCTATCTATCCCTCTCCTTTCCTCCCTATGAAATCAATAAAGATATATTTTTTTAAAAAGAAGTATTACGTGGAAAAGAAGAAGAATCTCGTACCCTTTGGGACAGTATGGATGGACCTGGAGACTATTATGCTAAGTGAAATAAGCCAGGCAGAGAAAGACAAACATCACATGATCTCACTTATATGTGGAATCTAAAGAACTTAATAAACTGATGAACAAAATAGATTCAATGACATGGAAACGTAGATCAGACTGACAAATGTCAGAGGGATGGAGGGCAGGTGGGTGGAGGGGGAGAGAGTAACCAAAGAATTTATATGCACATATGCACAACCCAAGGACAGGGACAATGGTGGGGAGAGGGACTGGGGAGGGGGATGGGACGGGGTGGAATGGGTCATTGGGGAGGAAAAGGGACATCTGTAATATTTTAAACAAAAATAAAATTTAAAAATTAAAAAAAAAAAAGTATTACATGGAAATACACTCAAATGTTCCTGTCATCTCTGAGTGCTTATATTTATGGTTCTTATTTTCTGCTCTTTGGTATTTTCCAAATGTTCCACAGTGATTATGTATTACTTTCTAATCAGAAAAAATAATATTTTAAACTAAAAATCTCCTTAATTATCATAGTATCTTTAAGTCTCTGGAAGTTATTGAGATGATGAGAAATAGAGGGAAATAATATTTACCCAATCCTAATATTTTAAGAGGAAAAAATATACAGGGTGGAGCAAAAGTAGGCTTACAGTTGTTAGTACAGGAAACACAGAGCTTATTCTTGTACTATTATTGTATTATTTTCCATAGGAACAACTATAAACCTACTTTTGCACCCTGTATTTTAGTTAGAATATCTGGCATAGTGTTTCTAGCCAGGCTCTAGAGTCAGACTGATGCTATCAAACTAGCTGTGTGAGCTTCAGCAAGTTTTTAACTTCATTAGGCTTCCATTTTTCCCCCCAATAAAATGAGGATGATAATAGAACCTAAACCTCGTGGGATTATTGTAAGAATTAAATAAAATAATAAATGTAAACTACTCAGCTAGCTGCCTGGCATATAATGAGTGTCAATCAAAGCTGACTACTATGAGTACCACCATCAGAGGAAAAAATAACCAAAAATGAAGAGCATGAAGACTTGGGAAGAAAGGAAGTGAAAGAAGCTGTTACACCCCCTTCCTTAGAAGCTTTTATGTTTCTAGATATCCTATGTCTATAGGACACCTCAGAGTTTAAAAGGTGCTTTTTTTTCCCAATCCTGACAACATACCAGGAAACACATATTATTGTTCCCATTTTACAGATGGGTCAACTAATGCCCTAAAATTTTATGTTACTCAAGAAGACGGAGGCCAAATGTCCTTTTATTACTATGTCTTCTGCATCTAGCACTATGCCTGATACATATAGTTATTGAATAAAGTATTTGTTTAATAAATGAATGGATAAATGAATGAGTAACAGGAACAGGAATTGAATCCAATGTTCTGGCTCCAAATCACATGCCCTCTTCAGTGTGCCTCAATTATCTCTTTAAATATAATGATGCTTTATTCATAAACAAGGTATCCTCAGCACTGTCCCAGGCTTGGAATGGTATAGCTAAGAAGGCACTGGTTGTATAAAACTAGGTCCAGTAGTTTCTAGTGATGACAACTATGGAAAAGAACAGTAAGACATTACAATTAATTTACAGTGAGGCTTTCACATGTCCTCTGCCCTTCAAACCAGTAATCTAAACAACAGAGGTCATGTTATCTGTATTTTACATCTGAGAAAAAAGAGAAGAAATAGGATTGGCCTAAGGTCACACAGCAAATAAAGGTGAAAGTTATATTCAAATATTCCATGGTTAGTCTCCTTCTCCCCTCTTCTGCCCTTTTAAAGAAACACTTCTCCAGCCCAGCCGGGCGTGGCTCAGCGGTTGAGCGTTGACCTAGGATCCAGGCGATCAGGGTTTGATTTCCCGTCAGGGCACATGCCCGGGTTGCGGGCTCGATCAATGACTCTCTCATCATTGATGTTTCTATCTCTCTCTCTCCCTCTCCTTTCCTCTCTCTGAAATCAATAAAGATATATTTTTTAAAAAAAGAAAAAGAAACACTTCTCCAATGTTGAGTTGCTTGATTTGGGAGGCAGTGCTATGCAGTGGTTTAAAGTATGGGCTCTGAAGTCAGACAGATCTAGGTTGGAATCTTGGTTTACTTGCTTACTAGTCATGTGGCCTCAGGTCTTAGCTGTAAAAACAGGAGGAGGAAGGCCACCTTTCTCATAGAACTGTTGGGAAAATTAAATGAGACTGTAAAGTGGCTGGCATAGTAAGCTATCAGGCACTACAATTATTATTATCTGGGCAAGAAGGGAAGGGACACAAGGGGAAGGAGAGGAAGAGGAGGACAACGACAAACGATGCCAATTCATGGCTTCAGCCCTGCTCTGGGCATTCTCCTGACAGCTGGCTTGGCTGTTTTCTGAAGGCTCCTGAAAGGAGTGAGCACAGAAGGAGGTGCTGTTCTGGTGGTGGCACAGGGAGGTGCCAGGCAGAGGAAGGTGGCAGTGGGAGGTTGGCAGGGAACTATCTGCAGCTCTATCTTATTCTCAGGGCCTCCGTGTCAGCCCACACAGATGTTACCCTCCCCGTGCCCCCTACTCACCAGCTTCCCGCGCAGCAGAGCCGGTTTCCCATGGCGCTCTGTCTCCGAGGGAGCCCAGCTGTTTTTTCTACAGAAAGAGCAAGTGCGTTTCCTGGTTCCTGGTTTGGTTTTCAGTAGCAGCTCCCGGGAGTCTCTGTCAGTGTCAGATTTCAACCTAGCAGGTTGGACTTTGGAAGCCACCTGCTGGAATGATTCCCAGGTGACTGCTCCCAGCCAAAGGGTAGAGGAACACACGCTGGCTCCAGGTGAGAACTACCTCACCTTGGGGATTTGGAGCTGCTTTGATGAAGCCATGAACTTTGAGCGTCAAGCTCCAGTGAAAAGAAACCTGAGATAGAAAAGGGCTCTGGGTTTCCTTAGGAAATGTTTCTCTACGATATCACACTGTACTGAAATATATCCTCTATAATAAAGAGTCTTACCTTATGTTTCCCAGCACTACTCAGCTCTGAGTTTCACTTTCAAGGTTATCAGTATCGGTTTCTTACTGTCCCTGTCCAGAATCAGGGTTTGAATACTGTAGTCTCTAGGAAACTTAAATTTAGGTAAATGGATTCTTTTTATATTCTTTCTCCCTTGCTATTAGAATTAACATGGGCAAATCATTTTTTTCTTAGGGCTGTAATCATGAAGGACTGAACCTATTACCCAATCCCCTTTCTTGTAGAAAAATCATATGACGCTATGATTGCAATGATCTCAGCACTTCTTAACCACCCACTTCCCCATTCCCAGTAGAGAAATATAGAATCCCCACTTACAGCTCAACTCAGCTTCTCCTTCTATCGACCCAAAACTACACTCATTCCACACTCACCAGCAACTAGGATGCAGTCAAGCAAATTCCTCTGTAGAAAATTTGGACTCGAGGGGAATTTGTGAAACCCATAAGGCTTGTCTCCAGTGCTCCTACCCCCACCTGCCTCGTTCAGATGCCCAGGTATCTGGGTGCTCCTATTGGGTGTTCAAGACCCACCACTCCGCCCTGCACTCCACAGAGAATACCCTGGACTCTTCACTCTCCCCCCACCCCCATCTTCTCTCCTTATGAAAATGGGGACAATAAGAGTGACAGCCTTACAGGACTGTGGTGAAGATTAAATGAGATAACGTATGTAAAGCTCTAGTCCAGGGCCTGGCACATGGGGAGCTCTCAGTAAGCCTGAGCTATTGTTATTTCTTCTGGTTCTCAGCTAATCGGCAGATGGTAAAGCATCTTACTCTGTTATCTTATGCAGGATCACTGCACCAGCCTCTTATTTCATGGCCACGCCTCTCCTCGGCAATTCCTTCTGTACTCTACCACTGCCTGTATTCTTTTCATCCTGTTACCCAAACATCTTAGCCTGGCGCTCAAAACCCTCCACACTTGGTCCCTTTCCAGCCACTTTCTCTAATTCAAAAGAAGACACCTAAGAGATTTTATGTGGCTGGAAACTCTAAAGGAACCAACAATGTGTTGTAGTAGCCAGGTCCACTTAGAGCATCATTAATAGAAGTCCAGAGTAATAAACAAGGGCATTGATTATTCCACTGAAGTTTGTGCCAGTCAATCCATGACTGGATTATTTATTTATTTTATTTTTAGAAAGAGAGAGAAACAGAGATTTGTTGTTCTACCCACCTATGCATTCACCAGTTGACTCCTGCACACACCACAACCAGGGACCTGTTGAACCCGCAACCTTGGTGCATCAGGATGACACTCCAAGCAACTGAGTTACCTAGCCAGGGCTGAAATAATAATTTGAGGACTACATGTTGAATTTCAAGTTATGTTGTCAAAGATCAGTGTGTTCAAGAGAAAGTTGTCTGGATAATAAGTGATATGGAAAGTCCTATAAGATATTGTCAAAAGAACTAGGTATGTTTAGTTGGTAAAGGGAAGCCTTAGGAGAGCAGAATGGTTATCTTTAAATATCTGAAGGACTCTCAAGCAAAAGAATTGCATTTATTTTCTGGACATAACCAGAACCAATGGGCAGATGTTACTAAAATGCAGATTTTGGTTCAATATAAGGAAGAATTTGTAACAGATATGTCCCAAAAGAAAATGAAGTTAGCTACTTTATGAAATTCTTAGTTCTCAGTTACTCAAAATGTCCCAGAAGTTGACGACCAATCTTAAGAAATTTTGGATGGGGTGGGGATTTGGACTAAATCGGAGATCTCATTTTTTTTATATAGCTAAGGAACCCTTTCTTTTAAATAAAGCTCATGTAAAAATTCCAGTTACAAAACAGATCAATGTGAAACTGTTGTGGTTGAAGTCTTAGTATCTTTTTAAATGCTTTTTCTTCTCAATTAGATACTAAGATTCCTAAGAGTAGACAATAAAAGACCGTAGTTTTTATAATTTATATTTACAATATGTATCCCCCATAGTGCATCACTTGGGGGTTGATAAATATTTGTTGAATGAATGAACAAATGACTATATCAGTAGTTATTTCTCTGAAGCATGCTTTCATTTTAAATTGATGGCAATCCTTTAACCCAAAATTGGATTCTTCAAGTGAAGGTTCTTATCCTGGGGGTCCACAATTCCTAAGAAGTGCATATGAATGGACCTCAAGAGTGCTATTCAAGTTGTATGCCAAATTCGGGACCATATGTATTTTTCTGCTAAGAGGATCTATAACTTTTGTCATATTTTCTTTTTTTTCTTTTTTTTTAAAAATATATCTTTATTGATTTCAGAGAGAGGAAAGGAGAGGGAGAGAGATAGAAACATCAATGATAAGAGAGTCATTGATCAGCTGCAGCCCGCAACCCGGGCATGTGCCCTGACCGGGAATCGAACCTTGATTGCCTGGATCCTAGGTCGGCGCTTAACCACTGAGCCACGCCCAGCCGGGCACCTTTGTCATATTTTCAAATGGGTCTGTAAACCCAACAAAGTTAAGAATCAACTGCTTTAATGGAAGAATTTCACGTCTGCCACAGCCTCATGAAGATACACTGGGGAAGGGAGATCTTCTGGACACCCTCCAAGTCATACACACACATGCTTCCTTGACTACAGAGAGTAATTGAGGGGTCAGACCCCAGGCTTTCCTGCACACACCATACCTCTAGTAATAACACTCCACTTCCAGAGGACACTTCCCTGGCCATCACGATCACACCAGCAGCCCCAGGTCCCCCGCATTTAGTCTCAGGTTACATGGGGATGCTGCAGTGACTCCTCTCTTTGGGATGTTCCAAGATAGGAGGCGAATGCTCTCTCTCACGGCTCCCCTGTGCAGAGGGTAGGGAGACTATGGGGTCCGGTGACGATGGCAGAGGTTTATGTGTCTGTGCCCCTGTGTACACATACTCAGTCCCTCAGAATCAGAGACCATTTTCAGTGGACAGATCTTAGTAGGGGGAAACAGGACTTTAGGTTACTCTCTCCAGCCGAAACCCGGCTTTCCCCACCCCTACCCCCAACAGGCCAGACAGTCCGGAGGCCCTAGTTTTTGTGTCTCTAATCACCAGCTCAGACAGTGCCCCGTGGGTTGTTTGGATGGCATATCCCTTTTCTCTCCCAGGATCACTCTCTCTTTTGTTGCACTGTGAGAAAATTAGGGCTGGGAATTTGATCTGGAGCCAGTGTCAGCTTCCGGGTGTGACCTCAGCATCCAAGCGTGAGCCCGGGGCTCTGTAACGTGGAGCACACCTAACGGAGGAGCTCTTCCCAGCCGCGACCTCCTCCCTTCCCACGCCATCCTCCAGGCCACAGAATAGGAAGCAGCACAGACGAGGCCCTGAGACGTGGGTTTATTCAGCTCTACCCAGAACGAAACCAAAGGCTAGGACACACACGTCCCAAAGGACCAAATCATACACTGTGGCCCGCGCACTCTTCCCTTCCCCCGAGGATGCTGCTGCCTCGGGTGGTGGCAGCTGCTGCACCGCCACGGGAGGCAGAAAGGGCTGGGCGCTGGGGCTGTGGCACTCAGGGCTCAGCTCCGGCTGTCTCCCCCTCCTCCTCCTCGGGATCAGGGGGCGGAGGGAGGAGGGAGATGTAGACCTCGTTGACCTCTGTGTCCAAATGCCGGCCCCCCCGGGGCGCCTCCAGGTTCAGGATGCCGTCGTGGGAGAGCGCGGCGCGGACCCGCCAGGGGTCCACGTCGGCGGGCAGCACGTAGGTGCGGCAGAACTCTCGGGACACGAAGCCGTGGCGGTCCAGGCGCTGGGGGTGCCGCGCGGACACCTCCAGCAGGTTGTCCACGGTCCTCACGGTCACCTCATCTGGGGTAAAATGGCTCACGTCCAGAAACGCCTGGAACTTGCCCTCGCTGAGCCTGAGCTCAGAGGCCCCTGCCCTGCTGCCCTCCCCAGCTCGCGTGGCCCGGGGCCGGACATAGTAGCCATGGTAGAGGGTGGGGGTCAGGATCTCTTCTGGCAGGAGGCCTGAGGGGCAGAGAGGGAGAGAAGGCAGGAGGCAGGATGAGGGAGAACGAGGCGCGAAGGGGCGAAAGGAGACCCGAGGGCTGCGGCGAGCAGGAGGGGGTCAGAAGTAGCGA